CCCAACAGGCGTCCCCGCCGCGCCGCTCCCTGCGCCTGCCCCGCGCGCCCCCATCCACCCGCAAAGGCCGGAGGAGCCGCCGCTGCCTCGGGCCCGGCCGCTAAGACGCTGTTCGGCCGAACGCAGACAAACAGCCGCAGCGCGCGTGCGCACGCCCGCCCGAAGCACGCCGGGAAATGGAGTCCGCGCCGCAGCCGGCGCCGGTGGCCCCCAGTGCCGCAGAACTACGGGTCCCGCCAGGCCGCGGGGCGGAGCTGTCTCCCGGGGGCCGCGAAAGGGCTTGTGGGAACTGTAGTGTGGTGGCGGGGGGGTGTACTCTGCCCGAGGGTCGGAGCCGCAGGACGAGGCCGGGCCAGCTCCGAGCTCCTAGCTGAGGGGCAGCCACGCCCCAGGGGAGCGCCTCTGCCCGGCGACACTCCACCCCGCGGCGCGGGTAGCCGCGCGTACCTCAGGCCTGGTGCGAGGCGTGGGCGGAGGCCGCTCGGCCGAGAGCCGCAAGGAGCGTGCAAACTTCTCGCCAATCGCCGAAGAGGCCCTGCCTGTGTCTCCAACCACAGCAAAGGGCACCCCAAGAACCCCCCACTCACAACCGGAGGTCCTAACATTCTCTTCAATCGCAGCGGAGGCCCCCCACAATCCCACCAATCAGCACTGAGCCGCTGAGCCCCCCCCGCCCCCGCGCAGCTCAAGGCCTTGGATGAGGCGCAGCCCCTGCCGTTGCTTTGGCTTTGTGCTGACAGCACCGAAGCGCAAGGGGCTGGTCCGGAGCAGCGCCAAGTGTCCCTGCCCGCTGGCATCTGAGCTAGGCGTAACAGCACCGGCAAAGGAGTATGAGCGAGGTATGGCAGGAAGGACAGAGGCCGAGGCAGGCGTCGTGAATGGCAGCTACCACCATCTTCCTCCCTGCGCACATCAACGCTTGTGCTCAGGGCAAGGGCCGAACAGTCTTGAGCCCAACTGGCCCCCCTGTGCCAGGCCTGGGAGCACAGCAGGGAAGCTGGTCTGGGTTGCCCCCAGCACCGCACCTAGACTTCTGGCGGCACAGGGTGAACTTTTACAGTCACCAGAGATAATGATAATAAAAAAATTACCGTTTTCCAACCCCCTTTCTGCCCGGGCCCCAGGCAGCCGCTCGGTTCACCCATGCCTGTGTCCGGCCCTGGTTGCTCCCCGCTATTGTTCTCAAGCTGTTGGCAAACCAGAAATGTCTGTAGCCAGGAGTCCTGGGGATGTGGTGCCGCTGTGCCCATCAGCTCGTTGGTTAAAATGTGGGTGGCAAAAACACCTGTGGAAGCAGATGTTTCCATTGCCAGCCCTCTGCATTAGGAAAACCATGACTCAGAGCTCTCAACACTGCCAGATTTTAAAGCCAGCCTGCTGGGGAGTTAACTTGTCTTCTGGGTTTTGAGCCTCAGAGTCATTTTTCAGGTTTGCGCTGCAACACAAGGGCTGGAAATGGACTATGTTTCATACAAGAAAACGGTTCCAGCACAAAGACTTGACTCCAGGGGCTGGGGCTAAAGGTTTATCCCCAGATACTGTAGTCAGCTGTCTCCGTAAGTCCAGTCAGGGCTGGTGAAAAATCAGAATGCACAAAAAAAGCTGGTGGTGGTGGAATAAAAAGGTAATAAACAGCACAGTAAAGCAAGGACATGCATGAGCAATCTCCCCAAAGCTTCAAGGTCAGGTTATTTACTAGGGTGTTGCTCTCCTAATGACTTGCTTGTCATCACTGGTCACTTCAGTTGGGTTCTTCTTTTTGAGGTTATAGTGGATTTCCAGGTTGGGAAGCCCTTGTAAATGCCTGGCTGGGGAAATATCTGACAAGCTGCCAAAACCCCCATAAACTCTTTTTCTCAGGTTTCTTCATTTTGGTTCCTTTCTATGTTAAGGAAAAAGCCTTTCCTGGCTGGCTGTTAATGCTTCTAGGTAACATCACTGTCAAGCAGGCAGCCACAGCTGGAAAAAGGACCTTGTGAAAAAAGCGTTCTTCACTGACCTGGTCCAAGACAACATTTACAGCTGGCCCCATTCCCTCCCCCAGAGTCCAGCCTGGATGTGTCCCACATATTTCAGAGAGATGTTAACAGGATAAAGGTTTGCATCCCTCAGCCTGAAGAGCCAAAATTTCCTTGATGACTCCTGACCCAATGCATCTCCATCAGTGATGTATCATTTCAACAGAGCGATGCTGACATCAAACTATTGTGGGACAAGAGTCCACCCAGACTAGTGAGAAAGGCACCACCTCCCACATGCTCATGGACACAGTCTAGTGAGTCCCCAGTTTGCAGTTTTCATGGGTCCAAGTGAGTCATAGGGGCAGAGACATAACTGCACAGTTCTGCCATCTGTGGCATACAGGGCAGCAGCTGTAACCAGGTTGCCAGCAGTGGTCAGCAACACAGCCACTACCATTTTTGTCCTCCTTCTACATTAGCTCCCAGGGTTTGTACTCCGTCACACTCCCATAGCTATGCTAAATCTACCCTCTGCCAGCTTGTGACCGTTATTCGTGGTCACTCCTGGCAGTGCTCGGGGGAACAGGGACTCCCCCAATGCCTGCTGATCCCCCCTGACTAGTTTATAACAGGCCACAAGATCCCCCCTCAGCCTTCTCTTTTGGAGGCTGAACAAGTTCAGGTCCCGTAGCCTCTCCTCATAGGGCCTGCCCTGCTGTCCCCTGATCATGCGAGTGGCCCTCCTCTGGACCCTCT